TTAGGACACAAGTATTATTAGATATTTTGTACATGTGCCACTCGGTTTTTATTTACGCAAATCTACTGTATTTGATGGAATTGTACGGTTTTAAGGTTTCTTTGTGCTGAACTTTAAGGTGGGGCATTCTAATATTTTCTTTTTTGTTGACAACAACATAAGTATGAAAACTAGAAATTGCACAAGCAAAATAAGTTTGTCTTACTTAATATAACGGCTAAAATAAAAAGAAATTAAAACCTTAAACAACTTTGCCCTTTCTCAGGTCCCACTGCTCTTTTGGCACATGGAATAGGCTATGGCAGCACAGTCACTACACATCCTGCCATGAAGGAGAAGATGATGGTTGACGGTAAAAAAATATATATATTTTTGTACCATCAATGGTTTTAAATCTGCTTAAGGAGTAGTACAGCAGTAAGAATTGTAACCACTTGTGACACGCAGCAGATGGTGCTGTTCAAGCATTTAGTTTGCCTGTGGAGAATCATTCCAGTGTAGCTGGATAGCACAGCATTTGGAGGTAAAGCAGGAATTTGACAGAACATACTAGAATCAAGTCTGTTCAGATGATCCCAGTTTGTGTTTATACTGCACGTGCTTCAAGTACTCTGACGCCTGTAGTTTCTTTTGCTCTGTCTTTTTTTAGACCACTATAAATATTCAGAGGCCCGAGTGCAGAAGGATGGCCATTACATCACCAGCCGTGGGCCAGGAACCAGCTTTGAGTTCGCCCTGACGATTGTAGAGGAACTCATGGGGGCTGAGGTTGCAGCTCAAGTCAAGGCTCCTCTTATTATGAAAGACTGATGGTTCACTTGTAATCCTGTAAGCTGCACTGCCCAGTATAACGCTCTGGAAAAACTGAGACAGCTGGTATAGTTTGGCTTTAGCTGAAAGGAATGGTAACAAATTATTTTTCTATCAGACATGAGTCTTGATTTTTATTTTATTTTTTTTCATTACACTGGTTACAAACCATCTCAAAAGTCACTTTAACCATGAAAATGTGGTGTGGAAATTTATTAAAGAGGCTTTAGTTCATGAACCACCACCTCCTTTTTTTTTTTTCTCCCATCGTCAGTGACACTATGACACCTTCTACTGTACTTGTCTAAGATTGCCAGTTTTCTGAATTCTAATAAAAGGAATATGGACTGGACAGGTTGGAGCAGGCTGTTGGTACAATTTTTTTTTTTTTAAACCTTCATTTTACCAGGAAGAAATTCATTGAGATAATTAATCTCTTTTACAAGGCTGTTCTGGGCAAAAATACTGAGCTGTGAGATGCTGTTTCTGCTAACTGGGAAATGGAAATTGAACATTTACCAAACACAATGTTACAGTAAATTAACAGGAATTAGTGTCAAGCTTAGCTGCTTTTAGCTACCCTTTTGCTGCTTTGTTGCTAGCTAGCTTTTAGCTTCTGACTAATTAAAAGCTAATAGTAGC